GGTGCGAGGACAAAAGCATGAGAAGAATTGTGGGCCCCGGGCAGACGCCTGACCCCGAGCCGCCGTGGAAAGCGGCTGTCTGTCCTCGGCTCGGGGGAAGGTGAAAGATGCCTTCAAAGGACTCTCTAGCACGTCCCTGCAGCCCGGACCAACCCTCCCCACGCTGTTTTCTCATACAACGCCCGCGTGCTGGGCAGCAACAGCCCAGGACTGCACCGGCTTCAGAAGGGGCTTTGGGGACCTCACTCCCTCACAGGCGGGGACAGTCCCTCCCTCTGCTCCTTCTGGAAGCCCCCGGGTGCAACAGAAGGCACTGTGACCACGCCCCCGGGTGCCTCCCCGTTTTTCTCAGCAATTCTATCAAGGCTCCGTTGAACTGTATTGGAGACGGGACTTGAAGGCAGGACCTTCCAGCTTTGTGAGGCTGCATGTCATTAGCCCCATTTCTGCCCATCTCCCTAAATGCTTAAATCGTTGGCAATCTGGCCCGTTCCTGGAATGTAGCAACCGATACTCCGCCATCGCAGGTTCATCTGAAACCCGAACTCCAGGCCGAGGACACAACGGGCTCAGCGCTGCCGCTGCGCTGAAGGCGTCCGCCGGGGGTCATGGGAACGGCGCCCCGGCCACAGGGGTCTGCCCGTCCCGGGCGCGGGGCGCAGCCGTGTGGGGGCCCCGCTGCCTGTGCCCCCGACTCCCCTCTCCGCACTGGACCCCGGGGGGCTGGGTCCACGCTCACAGAGCTCGCTCCTAACCTCCGCCACCCCCGCCCCGTCCTGCCCCGCTCTCACCCTGGGCTCCGGCGGCGGTTTCAGTTCTGCTTCCATTTCTAAGGAGTGGGGAGGCTTTTACCGAGAAAGAGACAGGCAGTGGGTGCGGAGTTCCCTTCCTCTCCATCGTCCCTCCGCCCCTCCAGATCCCCACGTCCCGCCGCTGACTGAGCTCCGGCAGAGATGACACTGCCGGCGTCTCTGAGGGCCAGTTCGCCTCCCGGTCCCACCGGGCCCGCCGGCCGCCTGGGTGGCCGAGCTCTGGGCAGATGCTCTGCCCCGCTCAGAGCTGTGGGCTGAGGGGGACCCTCCGGTCTCACGCTGCCGTTCCGTGTTGGACCACGATGGCCTAGTCTGGTGAGAGAATGGTCAGACTGGGCTTCAGAACCGGGCCTTGGCGCTACCCCGGACTTGCGCTCAAGGGAAGAACCGGCTTCGAGGGGATGTGTGTGGTGGGGGGCGGGGGAAGGGGACAGAGGCAGGGAGGCCCGATGAGGCCACATGTGGGTCCAGCGTGAGGTCGTGAGCAGCTGGGTGGACACTGGGGACAGAAATGAGGGGATTTCTGTGACGGCCGCTCTGCGGGAAGGCCAGCGGAACCTGGTGAGCAGTCACATGATTCGGGAAGGGGCGTGGGTGGGTGTCGGGAGACGTCATGCGACCTCAGACAGGATGTCGCTGCCCACAGGGAACTGCCGGACTCTTCTGAGCAAGGGGACGTCCGAGAGGCAGGGAGGTTTCCTCTAAAACGGCCCCCGGCCCCGGGGCGCGAGGGCGCTGCGTGACAGGGTCTCAGGGTTGGGACGGCCGGTCCCGAGCCTCTGGTAACACTGGCTTGGCGGTGGAGCCCGCGCTGCTGGGGCGGCTCAGACACCGGGACGGTGGAAAGGGGACCGGCAGGCTCGCTGGCTCGGCCGACGAGGGCAGGGGCGGCGCGGGGGCCGGCACAGGGCGACTGGCCTGGCTGAAGGGAGCCAGTGGGCGTGGCTGTCGGGCCGAGTTTGAGACAAAAAGGCTCAGTGGGAAATGGGAGATAGTTAACGGGGGCACAGGTCAAAGGTCAAAGGGGAGGGCCGGAGGTATTACACACATGTTTTTATTATGGGAAACTACAAATACAGCACACGCAGACCACACAGTAACGAACTTCCACGTGCCCGCCGGCTTCGGGAGCGACCCGCCTGCTCCCGGCCCCCCATCCTGATTCCAGAACGGACCGGGGCACGAAGTGCGGAGCCGGCAAAACGCAGGTTCGGGCACCCCTCCTGCCCTACGGACAGCAACGCCAAGGATTGAGGTCAGGGTGGACTCCCCCGAAGGGAAAAGCAAAACCAGGGGGGCCAAACCCAGAGCCCAGGCGCCTGCGCACGCTCGGCCGCGTGTTCTCCCTTCTGAGATAGTGAGAAAAACAAGGGTGCTGTGCAAACGTTTCAGACGGCTCGAGGTCACGTTTAAAAATCGCAAGCATTTTTACGTGACTCTTTGTAAGCACCTCTAAGACGAGCGTTCACCCTGTCACGTGCCGTTCTGTGCGGCACCGCCACCCGCCTCGCGTTATGAAAGTCCCCGTGCGGGAGGCCCTCGCGCAGACGCAACGCGAGAACCGCTCACCTAATTATCCCCGGTCGGTTTCCACCCCGCGGCTCGGACCTGCTGGGGTCACGCTAAGTGTGCCTCGGTGACAACAAAAGAGCCCTATCTGTCTGGAGTCAGCTTACCTGCGGCTGCCAGGAGAGTCACCTTGAATGACACGTCAGCCCTTGTCCCTAACCTGCCTCCCTCGCGGAGCAAACGCCGTGTTGCCTGTCGTCACTGGGAAACGTAAAAGGCAACAGGGGCGAGTGGCTGCGAATCCCACCGACACACACAGCGTGAGTGGGAGCCGGCCTGCGAGGGGAGCGGAGCAGCTTCGTCAGGAGGGAGGGCAGCTCACGACCCAGCCCAGACTCCCGAAGGGGGCCAACTGCCGAGTCATGGTCTCCCCGTGCCGCTGCAAAGACGCTATGAAACCACACACACACACACAGAATGGCTTTTTACTGACATCAGTATTAGAAATACTCACAGAATGGCATTAAATGTTTCTTATAAAGTCACACTATGTACGGCAGAGCCTAAAAGCCACTACTTTTAGGCATGAAGGTGTTTGGTTCATAAAAGATGTTTGCTTGCTCTGCCCTGGCTGGTGTGTCTCTGTGGACTGAGCGCCGGCTTGTGAACCAGAAGGTGGCGGGTTCGATTCCCAGTCAGGGCACAGGCCTGGGTTGCAGGCCAGGTCCCCGTGGGGGGCACACAAGAGGCAACCACATATTGATGTCTCTCTCTCTCTCCCTTCTCCTCTAGAAATAAATCTTTTTTTAAAAAAAGATGTTTGCTTTGATCTGGCAATAAAGCAATTAAAGAGCTAATTCAGTTTTTCTGTCAAAGAACCCAGTTACTGGCAGAGTGAAACAAATGCCTGGGAGCTCATGTGACCACTTCTGTCAGCGAGTCAAAATGTCAAGCTGGACGCTTTCCTCAAAAGCCCGCTAGTCACAACCATGGAACTCCAGCCACCGGTGCCGGGCTGCCACCGTTCCTTGCGAAGGACTGGCCCTTCCTCAGCGTGTCCTTCCTCCTCGTTCAGTATTTCATATTCTTTCATGGCACGCTAGACGGTAGCTTTTTATTTTCTTTTAATATTTTCTTAATTAAGAGAGAGATGGAAACATCGCTTGGTGGTCCACTTCTTGATACACTGATTGGTTGATTCTTGTGCGTGTCCTGGCGGGGGTGCTGAACCCACAACCCAGGCATCTCGGGACAACACTGTAACCAACCGGGCTACCCGGCCAGGGCCGAAGGAAGCTTTTTACAACAACATCTTTAATTGGGGGAGAACATTAGCAACACTGGGACCGATTAAAGAAAAGCTTCACGTTGTGACCCGCAAAGCACATCAAGTGAGACGGCACGTCACTGCGGACCCCGACGGCAGGAAGAGGACGTGCGGGGCGGATGTCCCCAGGGGAAGGCCGGAAGGAACGAGAGCCCAGTAGCTGAGTCTGGAGAAGCAGGAAGAACCCGAGAGCAGGCGCGGGAGGCGGCGGCGGCGGCGGCGGCTTCCCCGCCCGCTGAGCTGCCCTGGGGTCACTGGGGGCTGGACCTGCATGGGACGGAGACCCCGCCACGCGCCACACGCCTCGGCTGGCGGCTCTGTCCTGCCACCGGGGGCGTCCAGCCGCCGCCGCAGGGAGCAAGCTTCAGAGGGCGGCCGGCCAGGCCCCAAGCGGTACAAAGCGCAGGCTGCAGCGGGAGGGCCGTGGCTGCGGGGAGGCCTAGAGGCAGACCCTGGACCCAGGTGGCCCCATGGCCCAGGGTCACGTGTTGCTGTCTGCGCAGCACCCCACGTGCTGGTTCACAAAGCCACCTGGCTGTCCTGGCCCCCGGCTTTAATTTGTGCACAGGCTGGAGTCTAGTGAGGAACCGCCCTCGCTCCAGCAATGTGACCGACGGCTCTAAGGCGCTTGCTACGCATCCGACATTGTGCTCCTGCTCCAGTTGCAGCCTCTGGACACACCAAGGACCTTGGCAGTTGCTGCATCCCGTTCCCAGGCCATCGACCACGCCACCCCCAGGGAGCAGAGAGAAACAGGCGAAGGCGCAGACTGCTGAGGGCTCACGCACGCTTCGGGGACCCTCCGACCCCAGGCTTTCCTCCGGGCGGGGACAGCGCTGGGATGCAAAGCCTGGGCAGCGTCAGCCCTGAGGTAACACAGTGACGGCAGCAAACGCCCCGACGCGGCGGATGCTGACGGCTTCTGGGGCAACGACAGTACTGTATCGAAGCGCCGCGCCTCCGTCCTCTTGGCGTCCGACACTCGGCTGAATGAGCGAAGGGACGGGCGCGCGAAACGGCACCGGCAGAGCGGCGCGAGCGCCGCGCCAGGACGTCGATGAGTGGCCCGTGTTCAGTATAAAACCGGGGTGTGTTCACCAAGCTGGCGGGGAACCGGCCGAGGGTAAAAAGAAAGCGCATACTTACCTGGGGAAAGGCGCGCCGCCCATTTCTTCCCATCTCCACCGCCGACTTCTCCTGACATTCACTTGTCCAACAACGGGCCCAGGGCCCGGGCAGGACAGTGGGGACGCGGCGCGCAGGAGCCCCCTTCCTGGCCCCGCGCCTCGCCGCGCAGGCTGCTGCTGCTTCTGACCGTCGCTCCGAGGAATAAAAAACTTTTTATTTAGCGATTTATTTTCTGATGTCCTTTTTAATTTAGGAGCATTTAAAACAAAGGTAAATGAGGTATTGCTGTATAAATTTGATAGCCTATTACAAAATGTAAAACTTTTTTATTTCATGTGCTCGCCCGTACGTGGGACCATACAGACGTTCAGCGGCGACACGCGACAGGGAGCACCCAAGGCGGTCACCTGGGCGCGCCCCTTCTGTCGTGCTTCCTGATGATGGCCATGAGGTCGGCGCCAGTGACCAGGCGGCTCTGGGCCTGCCGGTCGCGCTGCTGCGCCCGCCGCTGCTGCTCCCGCAGGTACGGGGAGTGGAGCAGCTGCGGGGGCAGGAGGGACCCCGTGGGCGTCACCCGCTTCACGATGTCCCAGAAGAGCCTCCTGGAGTTGTTGTTGATGAAGGTGATCGCCGTGCCGTTCTGGCCCAATCTCCCCGCTCTCCCGACCTGCAACAAGGAGCAAAGGGAAACGTCAGACTGTCCGCGCGAAGGCTTCGCGGCCCCGGGGGGGAGTGGACGGGCTTCGCGGACAGGGACATTCATTCGGGCGGCGTTTCTCCCACGTTGCACCTTACTGTATCGGCGTTTGGGGAGTCGGTATAGGGGGCCGCCACTGGCGTATTTTTCAGAAAGAGCCCGAATAGAAACCCGGACAGTGATCACAGTGAAAGCAAGCACGGTCTGCGAGACTCCCGCTGCGCGTGCGTGCGTGCGCCTGTGCGCGTGCATGCACCTGTGCGCCCGTGCGTGTGAGCGCGAGCACGGGCAGCGCCTGCGGAGGGGGGGCGGGGGGGGGGCGGGCGGGGGCCGCTCTCTGGGGTGAGGAAGGTCCTCTACAACTGACTGTAGAGGGAGTCACAGAACCTGATGACTATACTGCAGACCCCACCCCTGGACGGGGCACTGTAAATGGGTGAATCGCACAGGGTGTGGATTATACCTATGAAAACCTTTATATTGAGCTTTTTTATATCTCATTATAAAGCTGTTAAAAAAAAAAAAGTACCTGTCATAGTCCACAAACTCGAAAGGACAGAAGCTCCCCATTCCCCCAAATTAAAGAGCAGGCACGTGAGAATAGCTACTGTGACTTACAATACGCGTATCCTTTGACCCAGCCAGTCCCCAATGAGGAATGTATCCCAGCAAGTGCTACGTAGGTAGCATATTTAATAACAAAACACTGGAAACATCGGCTGGTCCCTCGGCGGGGGACGTGCTGGTTGCAGGACACCCACACAACACGGCCACGAGGCCCCCGAAGCAGAGCGGGCCCCGCACACACCCACACTCGCCAGGCCCTGCCCGCAAGGACGGCCTCTCGGGCACAGTTCACGAGGAAGTCCGGGCCCGCGACCGGTGGAATAACGCGGCCCCGCCGAGGCTGCACTGTCTGTGACGGGACACACGTGCCCGGGGGCAGGGGTGTGTCCCCACAGGTATCTGTCTAGCCGTCTGGACAGCCGTGAAGAGCTGCCTGTCCACAGCGCCTGCGCATGGCTGCAGACCCCAGGGCTGACCCGGGGCGGCCGGGAAAGCCTGGAGAGTTCTGCCAGCACACGCTCCGCAGGAAGTGCAGGCGCTGCTCCAGCGCTTCAATGTCTTAGAAAGACCCCCACCCGAAAGCTCTCCAGTCCAGAAGAAAATGTCACAGTCTGTTATCTGATGGCAGGTCGCTGAGGCGGGACCGTCTCAGCGAGAGCCACAGCGACATGTTAAATAAGGCACGGAGCGTCGCGCGGGGGACCCAGCGGAGGCGGCAGCAGAGCTGGCTCTGGGACCAGCAGAGAAAGGCCTTCCTGGAAGAGCCTGAAAGCAAAGCCGGGGGAGGAGAGCCGGGCGCGCGGGAGGCCCTGAGAGCGGGCTCTGTTCCTGCCGAAAGCAGAGCCGGCCGGCGCCCCGGCCGCGGGGGGACAGGCGCTGGGCGAGGGAAAGGCCAGCACAGGCCCGGATGCGGGCGGGGGCGCGGAGACGAGGCTCCTAAAAGCCAGAGGCTTTCATGGGTTCGCTTGATCTTGGCCAGGCGCAGCGCCTTGAAACAAAGCCCCGGTGTTTTGTTTTTGTTTTTTCTGATTGTAAAAGCCATTCAACGTGCTCGCTGGAGAAAATAAGAAATAGAAAGAAAAGGAAAAGAAACCAAAAACCAATTACCTAAAAAAAATTTAGCTAACATCTTGGGTTATTACTTCCAATTATGTTTTAGTGCATTTAAGGCATCGAGTTTTTAAAAGCAAAGTCTGGTTTATAGACATATATCTAAGCAAAAAAGAACGTCATCTCACGCCCCTTGCAGACCTGTTCCTCTGTTCCCGCACCGCCGGCAGCCTGCCCACCTGGTGCACGTACTCGTCGATGCTCGACGGCATGTCGAAGTTGACCACCAGCTTGACCCGGATCAGGTCCAGCCCTCGGCCCAGGACTCCTGTGCTCACCACCACCTCGTGGCCTCCATCCAGCAAGCCCTTTCCAGAAAAGCAACACAGCGCATCCTTCAGAACATGTCTGGTGGGGGTTTACGTCACGGAGATCGCTCTCCGTTCTTCGATACGCCCTTCCACGCTGTTGCCGTATCTTTTCAGGAGGAAAGTCTTGGGAAAGGCGCGTGGCCTAAGCCCCTCCCAAGGGCTGCGCGTCACCCGCCCCAGACCACACGGACCCGGCATCGGGGTGGGGGCTTCCGACTGAGTCAACCCTCTGGCAGACAACCCCTGGGGCCCAGGCTGACCGCCCCCCAAACTCGGGAGCCGGAGAGAGGGGCGGTTCGCGTCAGCCACCGCCAGCCTCGAGGCCTCGGTCGTCAGAAAAGGTCTGCTCTACACGCCAGCGGGCAGCGGAGGGCCTTCGAAAATGAGGCACTCGCCGAACTGCTCCAGAGGGAAGGGACGCCACCAGGCGCGGACGTCGCACCTGCAGGACGCATCTCCGCTCGGCCTGAGACTTCTCCGAGTGCATGGCCACGCTCTTCAGGCCCGTGACCGTCTGCACCGCCGCGCTCAGCAGGTCCGCGCCGAGCCGGCAGCCCACGAACACCAGCGCCGGCGGCTTGAAGAGCTTCTTGTCCTGGACATGGAAACGTGCCTTTCAACCTACGCGGAAACGTGGCTTACGAAGGCACGTTTTGCTGAAGACGTTAGTATGGGCTTTAGTAGGAAGCATTAGTAGCGAAAGGTCCATAAACATATGTAAGGAGGAAAAGGGCATAGTCTATTAGAATGAGTATTTTCTTTAAAATACGCAGAGGCCGAACAGTCCACTGCCCTCCTATTGCAAAAATAATTTTAAAAATTTAAGTGCAATTAAAACTTTTAAATACCGTTTGAAATAAAAACAAAAAAATAAATAAATACTGGTCATACGTCAACACACACCTTATTATCTGAATACCACATTTTAAATTAACTACGCTTGCACACATACTCACGTAACAGATTGCTATTTGAGTTAGTCATTGTTAAAAATTCTATTTCTCAAGGCAAACTAGCCAAGAAAGAATGTATCCTTACCTTACATATAAAACTACCAAAAAAATTTGAAACAAAAAAATATTCTTTAGGAATAATCCTGGTTATTTACATGTCTTTCTATAACAGGGAAAAGCCAACTCTGTTTTCTTCTATACAGCATGTTTTCACTAATACTAATTTAATTGATTCTTACAGAATTCTGAGCCAGGAAAAGCAGGTGATTATTAAATACCTACGCCAAACTCCCCCAGAGTGGCATCTAACTCTCGTCCCCCTCAAATCTGTGAGACGCGCAGACGCACTCTGCAGACCCGGGTTGGCGGCTTTTCTACTCACATTTAATATTTCAAATAATTTTTTCTTTTTGGCGGGTTCTTCCACCCACAAAATGATCTGCCGCACGTGGGCCCCAGGCAGGTTCTTTTCGCCGGCGATAACCCTCACCGGCTCGTGCAGAAGCCGGCTTGCTAGCTGCTCTATGCTGGCTGGAATCGTAGCTGACACCAAAATGGTCTGCGAATCATGGGGAACGTTTTCCAAAACGTCCAGCACCTGCTGCTGAAAGCCCATCTTTAACATGGTATCAGCCTGGAATGAAATAATTCCAACGTTGGTCTGATCTGACATTAAAACCCAGAGCCACCCAAGAAAAGACTGCTCTTACAAATTAAAAACTCTTACACAGAAGTATCTACCACAGTGTCAAAAGACAAGGGGCTCACTGGGAAAAATAATACATTTATACGACATTACATGTGGGGCATCTATGTGTCTATGATGAGACACAACTCAGACACGGTGAGAGGGAAGCAGGGTCGGCAGGGCGGCCGGGGTGGGGGGCACATGCCGGCGCCCCCCAGCGACAAGCAAACTCTGCCCAGCTTCCCTGGCACACGCTGTTTTTGGCGTTGCCTGGGGGTCTTTGTCACCCATGACGCCCTCGATCACCGACAATGCGACGTCACCTGCATTGCTGACCCCGCTCCCGAGGGTCCCCAGGGCCAGACGTCACTCGGCAGGCCTTCCCTGGGCATGAAGCCCGGTGGACGGCCACACGGGGCGGGCGCTGCGGTCTGCACCGGCCGAGCCCAGGCACTGCAGGTAAGACGGGACCCAAATCTCCCTCCCTCAGGGAGCAAGGGCCTGGGCGCACCATGAGGCTCCATGACGGGGTGCGCTTTTCATACACCGCATCGCGACACACGCTCCTACCCGCCGTACGCACCTCATCCACCACCACGATCTTCACGCCGCCGAGCTGGACGGAGCCCTGCTTCACGACATCCAGGAGGCGGCCAGGGGTCGCTATGACGACCTGAAGGCGGGGCAGGCCGATAAAAAAGCAAACGAGCGAGTTGGAAGCTTGGGGAAGCACAAGAAATTTCGCGTGGCAGCGCGTTCCCCAAACTACTGACCAAACGCAAAGGGGAAAATACACCGGAGAGTGCTCGGCGGGGCCTGTCACAAAGAGCTGAAACTGTGCGTCATTTAAAAGCGGGGCACGCAAAGGACAAAGTAGCTCTTCTGTGAGGTTTCTGTCAAAGATAGTAACTTGAATCGAATCAATTAAGAAACATTTTTCAAAATCAGTCTTTCATAATCCTAGAAAGTGTTAAGATCTTGGGGGAAAAGAAAGGACAGATTGAAGGACTGTTCCAAACGGAAGATGAACGAGGCATGAGCACTAAATGCAACGTATGATTCTTTTTTCTCCATTTTGTTCGCTCGTGTATTTTGTCCTTCAGATTCCACATGTGGTATCGTACGGCATTTGTCTTTCTCTGTGTGATGCGGCCTTACTGACTCTGGTGCTGAGTATCTAAGTCCACCCAGGCTGCCGCACAGGCTAAGACCGTATTCTTTTCCACGGCCAAGTACTATTCCACCGTATGAACGCACCACGGCGTTCTTATCCACCTGGCTGCTGACGGGCCCTCGGGCGGCTTCCATAGCTCGGCTGCTGCACCGATGCTACAATGAACACAGGGGTGCATGCGTTCTTCGGAATCAGTGTTTTGAGTTTCTACAGACAAATACCCAGAAGTGACACCGCTGGATCTCTGCGTGATTCTGAATTGCATTCTGGGGCCACAAAAGGTGAAAGGACAACTCACAAACGTGCACGGCCCGAGGAGGAGACGACAGCAGCCGACTCCCGTGCGCACACAATGCATCAGCGCCACGCCCGACTCGGTCTCCGGTGCTGTGGCCTCCCGGGAGAACGTCCTCGTTCACAGGAAACGCACCCGCAAGCCCACCAGTGTTGGAACCTTCCACAAATCCCACCTGCCTGAGAGTCCCCTCCTCAACCACAAAGATGGAAAGAGCCACCCAGCCCCAGAGCAGGGGTGATGGTCTAACAACACCTGTGCGAACGGCCGGTGGCCCTTGGCCTGCCACGCGCACCCAGTGTGTTCTTTCCCTTCCGACGTAAACCGAGCTTGGCGGGAACGGAAGGCCCACCTAAAATCGCACGTGCAACTGTCTCCAGGGAGAAAGCCCGCGGCCCCGCTGCTTTTGACGGGCATGCTACGAACCGTGCTCACCTTGACGTGCTGTCGCAGGCGGTGCAGCTGCGGGGGCAGGGGCAGGCCCCCCACCAGGAGCACGGTCTTCATGCGCGGCAGGCCCTTCATCAGCTCTTTGGCTTGTCTCTCGATCTGAACGGCGAGCTCCCTCGTCGGAGTCAGGACGAGGGCCGACGGGTGCGCGCTCTGCAATCGGAACATGAGGCTGAGCACCGTAGCTGCTCCTCCCCGCGGGGGCAGCGAACGCGTCCATGGCTCCGCGAGCACCTCCCTCCAACCTGTGCCCGCAGCCCGACCGGGGGCGAGCCCTCTGCGCCCCCTTACCCCAGCTCACTACTGACTTTGTCGGCCAAAACCGTCACAAAGGGAACCTCGTCTTACATGACACAAATAGACGACGAAAGATGGAAACCCAACCCCAGAGAGGCGTCTACAACGGGCCAAGGCGGGACCCCAGACAGACCGCTTCTAGCCCCTCAGACTCTGCCCCTCCAGGCGCTGGGAAGAGCGAAGAGCGGGGTCCAGCCTGGCTGCCTGCCCTTGGCCTTCCCTCTTGGATTTCTTGGATTTCTTCATCCGAAGAACCTACTTGTATGAACGTCTGTCCTATTTCCTGCCCTATCACTCTTGGTCCTGCAGAAATGTCTTGGTACCTTGGCCATGGAGCACTTTCTTTTATTTTTATTTTTCCATGTTACTTCCACTGCTCTTTGATGTTTCCAGGGTGTTAGAAAGAAAACATTTCATAAGGCATTTTTTGAGATCTTCAATGAAGATCTTTTATTTGATATAATGAAAAAAAGTCTCTTAAAATTATGCTTGAAAGTATGCTTAGTAGACACACTACTAAATTACACATTCAGTTTCAGTTTGTAAGTTGAACGTGGTCGGGCATAAAAGTTCACAAACACCTCAGCTGCTCCTGAGAAGGGCCTCTGCGAACGAGAACTCACCTCGACTAAAGCTCGGATGATGACAGGGAGGAGGAAGGCAGCCGTCTTCCCCGAGCCGGTGTCGGCGCTGGCCAGCACGTCCCGGCCCCCGAGCCCTACAGGGGTCATCTGCATCTGGATGGGGGTTGGCACTTCGTAGCCAGCGGCCTTCAAGTTCAGGTTTAAGGCCTCCGGGAAACCGCAATGCTCAAAGTCAGTGATGGGTCTGGCCACGTCCCGCCCTTGAACGGAAATGCCCAGCTGACGCTTAAGGTCCTCGACCTGGTCCTCCTGGAGGCTCGAGATGAAGGGGTGCTCCTTGTACACATAGACCGGGAGGAGCGGGGACGCGGGCTGAGAGCCAGCCCCCTGCGGGCTGCCAAGGGCTGACTGCTCTCCCTTCTCCTTAACTTGCAGGAGATGTTTCGCCTTGCATTCCAGGCTGCACACATCTTCATCTGTCTCGTCGCAGATGTACTCCCCGTAACGGCCGCAGACAACACACACCGGTTCCCCGGGCTCCGCCGGGCGCTGCGTTTTGGAAAACGACTTCACGGGCTCCTCGGAGAGACGGCAGTCCTCGGCACCCTGCTCAGGCCCCGCCTGTGCACGGGGGCAGGGGCATGGCTCCGCACTGGGCCGGTCGCCGGCTGCGGCTTCCTCTGCAGCGAGGGCACCGGTGGGGTGGCCGCTACCCGCGTCCCGGCGGGGGTCTTCTGCTTCCGGTTTCGCTTTCTTGGGCGCGCAGCCTTTGCCATCATCGGGAGCGGTCCTCTTGACTTTGAGAGATCTTGGGACAAACATCCTTCAAGACCCTGTTGAGCAAATTGCATAATGAGATTTATTTTACCCGCCATCAAGTCCAAATATCCAGGACCAGGTGGCTCTCCTGGAGTCAGCCCAGGGTCCCCGGGGTTTGCTTTGGAGGGACAGAGGGGGCGTCATGACACCACCGTTACCAGGCTTCTCTTCCATTCACCAACTCCCCACTGAAAAGGCAGAATCCCTTTCCATGCACACGCGCACGTGCACGCAGACACCCAGGCACACACAGGCACCCACAGACACGCGTGCACTGCCTAGGCCTGCTTACAGGTTGCTTGCACTCTGAAAGAGCACATACTATGGAAATGGGGAGTTCACCCTCTTGCCTTTTCACAAAACAGGAGGAACACTTCCCAACGGGAACCGTTAAAATTAAAACCACCGCGCACAGAGAACGCTGCCACTTTGACCCAACAAGTAACAGCGACGGCGCTGAGGCGCCTCAAGCCCGCTGCTTCTCGTGCCACCTGACCTTCGGGGGCTCCTAAGGCGGAGAGAGAGGGGATGTCCGCACACAGATACGCGGCGCAGCAGGCATTATGCGGTGCCGAGACTTGTCTCAGACGCGCGCCCAGGGACGACGCCGGCCACCCGGACACCAGGGGCTCGCGGGCTCCCCGCCGCGCCAGGGCCCCGCCGTCACCAGACACGTCCGTGCAGCCCAGGGCAGTGTCTGGGAAAGAAGACCTTCAACCCAACTTCGGGCTCATCAAATACGCGCATCCACAGTTTTCTCGAAACTAAGCCTTAGGACCGCCGCCCGATTCCAACCAAGCGCAGCTCGGGGTGTCCACTGGCTGCCCCGAGGCCCCGGGGAAGGAGGCCCTCCTGAGCGCACGGGCCGGCAACGGAGCCGACCCCCGCGGCCCCCGCGGCCCCCGCCGCCTCGCCGCCGCCTCCCCCTACTCCGCCCCCCGCCCCCCGCCCCTATACCCTCCCCCGCGCGCGGCCCTCACCCGGGCCCCGGCCTCGCGCCCAGAGCGCCTGCGCGTCGCTGCGGCCCGCGCCCAGAGCGCCTGCGCGCCACGGCTGCTCGGCTCCCTACGCGCCTGCGTCTGATGGCGTCACGGGGCTGCTAGGAGACGGCGCGGGAGGGGCGTTTCCGAGGATGAGAGGGAGCGTCTATCACAGGGCAGCTGCCTCGGACCCGCGTCCCAGGAGAGGCGGGGGCCGGAGCCGCTGGCCCCGCCGCGCCCCCGCTGCGCGGAGCCCACTCCCCTCCAAGCGCCAGGCCGGGCCTCCGGCCGAGAAGCTCGGCCTCGCCGAGGCTGGGAGGGGCGCACGGAGGAGAGACCCCTCCTCCGGGTCTTGGGCGGGGCCGCGGCGCGCCCAGGCTCCTCGGGAAGGCGGGGCCAAGGGTGCGGTGAGGCCGCAGCGCGCGCTGTCCCCGCCCCCTACCCGGCTCCCGGCTGCGGGCGAAGCTTGGGGCCGGGTTTGGGCTGGGAGGTTGGCAGGGAGGGGCGGGTGTGCTGATCCTGTTGGAAGAACTGACGCGATGGCCTGGGCCGGGCTGGTGAAAAAGAGTCAGACGGCCCCAAATGGCGGAAGGGGCGGCGCGGGGCCTGGCACCTCGCGGAGCTGGAAGTCTGCGGGGGGAAGGGCGGGGCGCAGGCCCCGGAGGCCTGGACGCGGCCTCCCGCCATTGGCTGGCAGGAGGACTCTGAAATTAAGCCGAGGGCTTTTCATGTGGCGGGGGTGATGTGCCGGGTGGTATTTCCGCCACTGCCACACCCATCGCGACCCCAGAAGGAAAGTAACGCGGCCGCAGCTCCTGGTTCCCCCGGCTGACGCCACTCTGCTGCGCAGTCCCCGCGGTCGCGAGCGGCGGCACGCGCGCCAGGCTGCTCGAGGTCCGCGTGGGAACGCGCAGGGGGACGAGGCTGATGGCTTAGGGAATACTTTCGGGTGCCTTCAGTATTTTTAAATAGTTTCAGCCCAACATTTGATGCAAACAAAATAATATGTTGACTATGTGCATTTGAAAGCAAACTCATAAAACGGCCGGCTGTCTGCGGCCGCGCCAGGCTGTCACCATGAGCCGCACACCCGCGCATTCGGGTTGTGCTGCCTCCCTTAACACTGTCCCGAGCTTGGTTTGTCTCTCCTAGCCGTTCTTAGTCGCTTTGTCATAGTTGGATACATTCCTAAACGATATATTGTTTCGTTTCTCTTCTCTTTGAGCTTTGCAAAAATAACGTTTATGCCCCTTGCCCTTCCGCGAGTCTGATGCGCGCACGCCTAGTGCGAGCAGTACGTGTGTTTTGCTGCTGTTACGCTGTGGGTTTATAGATTGCATGGAAGTGCTTGTCCGCTGCGGACGCTTGGGTTGGCGCCAGTATTTCCTTATTATCAGAGGCAAATTACCGTGAAGCTAATGAAATGTGAGTGTCAGGGCCTCTCCTTCCCCTGGGTCCCTTGGCAATGTGTTCACGTGGTCATATGTTTTCGTAAACTGTGCAAAAGGAACGTATTTGAGCCACGATGGATTAGGGCCGCTTTCTGCCAACACTCCGTTGGCCGTTCTCGAGCTGGAGGTGCTGGTGGACACCGCAGGCCCTCGGGACAGGCCAGGGTGGGTTGGGGCAGGGATGAATTTACCCCTCTGACTCCTGTGGAATGTGTTAGCGAGTTTCACAGTCTGTTCAGCTTAGGCCACTGCCCTGCACCCCAGGGGAGGAAGGTGCAGGGACAGATGTCCTATCAGCATGTGACTGTCCCATAGCATCCAGCCCTGAAAGAAGTGCATGCTGGGGGAGCAACCGTTGGAAATGCAGGGAGCTAGAAGCTGGTCTGTAAAAATTCACTGGATGGGTAAAACTGTAAGAAGGGGGTCCAGCTCGGTCCAGTGACAAGCCAAATGGAAGTTCTCAGCGGGAATATAGTCATGATTCTATGATTATAAACTCACCTTCTGTTTTCACACACCACAAAAATGTATCAGACTCCATGAGTTGGTGGGGCACAGACCTGTTACAGAACTTCGGTGAGTCTGGATGAGAAGCCACATGTTTTTTATAAATACTAATAATAAAAAGATGTTGAATAAACCACGCTGAAATAAATTTCATCAGTTGTTCCAGTAACGTCATTCCGAGCAATTTTTTCCCTCCCAATCCAGGATCCACTCCAAGAGCCTTTCACTTTCGTTATTTCCGCACTGACTTTTCTTTAAAACTTTTTTATGTTTCCTGATTTCAGAGAGGGTGGAACATCGATGTGAGAGGAAAATATTGATGGGTTGTCTCCCATGCGTGCGCTGACCAGGGACTGAACCCACAACCGAGGCATGCGCCCTGACCGGGAACCGAACCCGCAGCCTTTTGGTGCACCGGACAACGCTCCAACCAGCTGAGCCACCCGGCCGGGGCTGCACCGACTTTTAATGATTTAAAGAGTTCTTAAGTTTCAGGCAGTTCAATCAAAGGTCCTGGTTCTAAGCGCCGTCTTTAGCATTCCTGGCACTGCACGGTCCTTGGGAAACCTCAGCAATGCCTCCCACTACCATGTGCTGCAACTTCCGTCAGCTCCCTCCCAGAAGAGCTGGGCCCTGGCTACACGCATGCCTATGGTGACTTGCGGAAAACGTGCCAGTCCTTACCCATGGGCTGCTTCCCTCTCGACGCACAGCCTGCGGAGCTCCAGCTCACTTCTGCGCTTGCGTTAGGAGCGCTGGGGGAAGCCTAGCGTTTGACATCAAGCCCTTTGTCTTCAGGGTCAATGAGTCAATGCTCAGAGCCTCACAGGCCTCACCTGGGCCTCTGGCCCATGTGTGCGCTTTCAGCAAGAGCCTGGGTTCACATCCCCAATGAGGCGTCGCGAGGGCCCGTTGCAGTTAACCTCCATGGCTCTGTTTCTGCGCAGAGGCGTCCGTCGACGTGGAGCGACGGTCATCTTTGTTGGGCGGTGCCGTGGGAAGCCTCGCCCGGAGCGGCTCACGTGGAAACCGCAGAAGCATTACACATGCATTCCTGATCTGCACGGAGCTTTATGGCAGGGAGGGACAGGAACACGTCCAGGTGACTCAGTGAGGCAAGAGTCACGGAATTCACCATCCTGCATGGCCCTGCTCAGAGTGTGCCGCAAGCTGCGTCTCAGGACAGGAAATGCTGCAACAATGTGATCGGGCCTGCCTGTCATCCGCATGTGCTGTTGGGACACGAACAGAAATAATAATGCCTGTCATTCTTTCACCCGGGAGCTTCGGGCTCACACCTACTGGGTCATGGTTACTCCCTGCTCTTGTGAAATGGGAGGCTTGGGGAGCCCGGGTAGGTCTGCATCCCAGAAGGACAGCGAGCACGCAGCCGCCGCATGTGGGTGCCGCTGGTCGCTCTTCCCCCTGGGTCATCGCAAGGCCCTGGACCGCTGTTGGGGGCCTTCACCTGATGAGTAGTAGGACGAAGCCCTCGAGCTCCAAACATGGAATTATTTCCTCATGCAACAGCTTTATGGGCTGGCTCTACCACGTGGCAGGCTGGGAATATGATGATGAACAGAAAGCCAGACCCCGCCCTCGCCCAAGCGTCCAACAGCGCTGGGGGGATGGCGCGGGGTGTCCCAGGTGCGCGGGCCGGCATGTGCACCCGCCTCGGGCCAGGAGGAGCTTTCCTGCGGAACCGACGAGGACACTGAGGCCCCAAGCCCGACTGGGAAGCTGGGCCGTTAGCGCAGGGAGGAGAAGGGGAGGGAAGGCCCCCGTGAGGCCAGGGCGCGTCCAGGGCACGGACTGAGGGGCGGGATGAGTCCGCTGAGGGCAGGCCGTGCTGCAGCCGCACACTGTCCCCAAATCTAGGCGGCAGCTGACAACGAAGGTTTCCCTCTCGTTCAGGTCGCAATGTAGAGACGCCATGGCAGGGGGCGAAAACGGAGGGAGGAAGCGGGCCGAGCACCGGCGGTACAGAGGCGGAGGCAGGACCAAGGACAGGGGCGAGCTCGTCCTGACGGGACGTGGACGTGGAAGAGGGGTCAAGGCTGAACGCAAGACCAGCACAGACGGGGAGGCCTCCCACCCTCCACGGAACGACGGCGGCTAAGAGCTTTTGGAGCAATGAATTTAATGCGACAGCACAATAAATATTGTATCGTCGGTAATTTCAGAACCGTCTTCCTGCGCATCTGAAACACATTCTGCGATCGACGTCATCCGTTCTGCCCAAACCCCGAGCACAGGCAGCGTTCGCCGAGGCACACGATTCCCAGCCCCGAGGCTTCCGGGGGACCACAGGCGGAGATGCCGTGTTGGGGCTATTCGACAACTCTGCTCGCTCCGACACCGGAACTCGCGAAGGCGTCGCCGGCGGTTAGGCCGGGCGGGCACTGAGCTGCGGAGCCCACTTTCGTGAGCCGGAGCACAGCCCGGCTCGGGCGGGTGTCGGAGGAGAGTGGACCTGGACGCCCGCCTCCCACCACACACAAAACTTGACGCCGGACGGAGAGACTCAAAGGTCAGCGCTCCGGTGCAGAAACTCTTAGAAGAAAACACAGGCGTGACCTTCATTACCTTGCGTTGGGCAAAACCTTCTTGGATGCAGTATCTAAGGCAAAAGAAAGTGGGTACATGGAAAACTTTTGTGCTAGATACGATGCCATCAAGAAAGTGAGAACACAACCCACAGAATGAGAGAAAGGACCTGAAATCCACACATCTGTCTGATGAGGGTCCAGTATCCAGAATATATAAAGTGCTAGAGCTCAACAATAAAAAAAAAAAAACCACCAACTTTTAAAAGGGCAAGGGATTCGAATAGACATTTCTCCACAGCAGATGTACAAATAGCCAGGAAACCCATGCAAATATGCTCAACGTCGTTAGTTATCAGGGGAATGCAAATCAAAATCAAGGCGAGATACCACTTCACACTAATTAGGTTAGCAATTAAAAAAACCAGACAAGGAGTGCTGACAAGGATGCCGAGAAATCGGGACCTTCACAGGCTGCTGATGGGAACGTAAAATGGTGAAGCCGTTTGGAAAGCAGCCTGGCCACGCCTCAAAACGGG